CAGGAACCCCTAAGGGAACACACTGTAATGTAGTTCTAAGCAGATTAAAGGACATTTTAAGTGTTTATTAATGCATGTATCAACTATGATGACTTCCATCCATCTGTAACTGATGTATAAACAGTCAATAATGATCGGTGTGTTATAAAGCAGGAATGAGATCAGGCTGGGAGGTGTGCAGGAGAAACTAGTGGTCGTGAAACTACCAAAAATAGGTGAAAGGCCCTCTCTAGAGTCAGTGTTTGGTTTGTCCGTTCTGGGCTACTGTAGCAACATGGTGGTTCAATGGAAGGCGACCTCAGCCGCATCTCATGGTCTTCATCAGCAAATAGAGTTTGTTCGGTTGTAAAGAGAGTGAAGGACACCTATTCATACTGATGTAAACTATAAAGACACATTTTATATGATTACTGTGTTATATTAACGTGTTGATCAATTATTATTTATTTACACACCAGTTATTGATGCTTCATAGGGAGAAGTCACAAATAAATAAACACTGAAATTTTCCTTACATCTGCTTATAACTATATTATAGTGTGTTATAAACAGCTTATTGTCATTGTTTGTGTTCGGTGGATAAATTCTGTTGTATCATTTCTAAAATAAACATTATTATATCTTCCAACAAAACTCAAAAAATGGTAATATTAAATTCTTTTTCAGCGCTAAATATGTTTTTGTTTTACCTTGTAACACAATCAGACAGACAGACAGACAGATAGATAGATAGATAGATAGATTTGCACTCTTCCCATGTGTGCCCCTCATGCTCAGTGTTATTCGGAAAAAGGTCAAAAGGTCACATGACATCCCTGCAGTGCAACAGCCCACCTGATGCTTTATTCTAACAGAACAACCTCCTCATGAAGAGCTTTAATTCTACAGTAAACTTCCTAAGATCATTTATATAGCGATATTATGACACTTGTAAATGCATAAAGTATTAAGGAACACCCAAATGGAACACAGTGACCATCTACATGGGGGATCTGCTCTGTACTTTGACCCACAGAGACTGTACCTCAGCACTGAAGCCGTCCTCCTCTGGGACATCTGCCGCGGTGCTGCACAGGCTCAGGGAGAACAGGGACGACAGTGTGATGAAGATCTGAGTCCAGGCTTGTTTGGATGCCATCTTCTTCCCGGTGTGCGCCCTGTGGTCCCCGGATGGCAGGACGGAGTTGTGGATTTGATGAGAAACAGCCCGATAAGTTGCTCCGGCCGGGCAGGAGCGGAGGACAAAGTGCGGTAGGGTTTATTCTCTTCCCCCCCTCTTACATTGAAGCTCTCAAACCTCCGCAACAACTGCGCTATCCGCTCATATTTGGAGCTGGCGCATCAGAAACATCGGAAAAAAACAACAACAACAATAAAGTATTACGCAAATAAAGGTGCATTCACAAACCCTCGGAAAAAAAACATGAATCAGTTGGGTTCTAATCCCTTCCGGGCGGCAGGCAGTCCGGTTTGAGCGGAGCCAGCGGTGTCATGGCTCATCCAAGCGTTCATACAGCAGTCTCTTTCATGCATGCAGCTCACACTGTAGCCGGCGGAGGAATGAACTAGACCTTGCCCCCTTTCCGACGCTCACAAAGGCAGCAAATCAGCAACAGGGAGTCCCTTGCAACAAGTCTCCTTCCAGTTGCAGCAAACACAAGGGTCCGGGCCCAGGACTCAACACACACACACACACACACACACACAGAGTGCCTCTGAAGTAACGCAGTTTCTGAACTTGTTGCAAACAATATAAAAGCCGAGTTCAAGTGCAAGTTCACCTGCGCTGTTTTGCACTAAATCTTCGGCTCTAACTCGGAATGGAGAGTGCAGATATTTGTGTGCAACCGCCGTGCAACAGCTGTGTATCTGATAAAAGATTTCTAATAATGACTTCATATGAAGGAAGGGCCCTCCTCCCTCCTCACACAGCAGACCCACATCAGAGGGTTCCCAGCCGGCAGAGCTCAGTGCGCCTGCGCCATCTGCTGCTCCAAAGGGAAACTACAGATATGTGACGCCTTATAAAAAAAAATACCTACTATTTAAATTCAGACCAGGGTTGAGAGGGTAACTTTAAAAATGTAATCCGATATAATTACTAATTAACTGTTAGAAAATGTTGTCAGTAATCAAAGTATCACAATATTAAAGTAACGTAACTTGATTAGTTTCTATTACTTTTGGATTATTATAGACATTTTACCTCAAATAACTTCCACATTTAAACATTTTATAAATGAACCAAAACTATTAATTTATGTATTAATTTATGTAAACACTTAATTTAACCTCTTGTGTTATTTTTGTTTTGTTGTGTGTTTTACGTATATATTTTTATTTTTCTGAAAAGAACTTAAACTGAAAAATCTAATATGCTGATATGATAATGTCCATAAATGTTAAAAAAAGAGGAAAAAAGTTAGTTTGAACTAATAACATAACATATTTGGTATTGTACCTTCCTCAATGAAAATGTTTAATTCAACTAGTTTAACAAAGACAACATCTATAGAAATGTTCAGGGGCTGGCCTGAGGATAGCATGGAGACTTTAAAGGGTGATTTTATCAATATTTGCTTGGGAGAGCCTCTAAATTAAGATATTTTAACTCAAAAACATCACATTATTGCACATTATTTTTAGTAAACCACTGAATATAAATATTTAAAAAGGTGGCATGAGAAATCAATAAATTTTTTCCAATACGCTGTACTTAAGCCTATAATTAAATTATATTTTGTTCTTTAACATGTTTTTTTTCCATTGATCTAAATTAACGTGAAAATTTTTTTGCAGCATTTGACACCAAACTGGGGCAACCAGGTATTTTTTATGGATTGCAGCCCACCCCGCTCTATTCCCCCCTGCTTGTTATTGCAGGTACTACAGATGTAACTAATAGTTTAATTAAATGTGACAATGAGCCACAATACCAGGACACCTGAAATACAAATGAATTGCAGTCTTTAAATCAGTGGTATGAGTTACATCTGTCATAACTGATCTAACGGATACATTCACTCACAACCCAGAAGCAATATGTTGTTAGGGGTGAAAGACAATGCTGTGACACGACACTTGTTTTGGGAATCACATCAGGACAGGAATAAAAGTCGTGTTTTAAAGTTTTATTCAAGCTGCCAAAAGCAGCAAATATTTTTGTCAATGCTCCTCCATTTGTCTGAGCCTCCTGCTGCCGGCCTTGGCCACAGTTATTAGGATGATTAAGAAGCAGCCCACAGTCCAGACGACCCCTACAGGTAGCACCACCGTCGTCAGTATGCCTGAAACAAAGACATACTCATGGTATCTGCACATCCACATTAAATACAGTGAGACAGTGGGGGGTGCCCAGGAGCTTACTGGAACGAGGTGTGTCTGGCATTTCGATCCTGATGGGTCCGTACGACAGGATGCCGTCAGAGAGGTCTGCTCTCACTGCTTCTCTCTTACTGATCGAATTGCAGTTCTGTACACAAAATAAAAATTAGACATGAAAGACTGCAAAGTGACGTCATAACAGCAGAAGCAATAAACCCTCTAAATGATTCAGATCCTTTCATGGAGTAAGTGTGCATTTCATGGTCATTTCCACAGTGTTTTCTTTGAGACTTGACCAATGTTAAAGCTATAATGTAACATTTCTACATTAAAATATCTATAAAACAACACCGCGTTTCACCGGTCATCTGACCCCCGACATCCCCTTCCTGTCAGTTCTGTTTGACTTTTTATTGACTTTAAAGCCACATTTTTACAATACAATTTCTAAATTTTGGTGGTTTTTAAACTATATTATAACCAGATAAAGGATTTTAGTCATCGGACATCTGGATCTTAAGTTATCAGAGAAACAAGCTGAACTAACGTTAGCAGCAGCACGTCGTTTGTCTGCCCAACAGCATTAGAAAAACAGTGATTTTTAAGGTGGAACTTCTTTATTCATTGTTTTTAGCGGTTTTAAGCAGCAGGTCCGTTTGTTTTGGAGGGGAGGAGACTTCTGTGGATAATTCGGCTCCTGGTACAAAGCTCCTGAACCATGAACACTGAAGGAAACCTAACCAGGAGAAGCTGACTGCAGTGACCGCAATGGTGGTGAAGACAACAACTCCCATGATCCCACACTACTTCAAACATCACCAAAGTTTCTATTTTGTTTTGATATGAGCACCAGAAATGACATATTGTACGTTTAAGACCAATACCTAAAACAAAATATGAGGCATCTAAAGAAAAGCCAGTAGACAGTATGAGCTCACAGGCGTGCAGGACTGGTGGTCGTCCGGCTCACACAGCTGTACGGTGCAGTGCAGATAAAGGTCGTGAGGTTCTGCTGTGAAGCGAAACATGTCGAAGCTGTAGCGAATGGTGGAAGTTTCTCCGTTACGGCCAGACTGTCCCGCGCTCACGTTATGAAAGGAAACAGTTTTGTCGTTCACACACCTGTTTTATAAAAGAGATGGAAATGATGAGTAGGAATGGGATGTGTGCGAGAGTTCATAGTAAAACAAACAGATATCGAGAGCTGTTCTGACCCGTTCAGAAGCAGAGTGTGTAACAACCCCTCTGTGGCGTTCGGCTGGGAAAACTGTGTGGCCCAACACTCATTAATGCGGAGGAGGAAGAAATCTGCCGGGTCTGTGACCGTCACCTCCACATACACCTGGACAAAAAGTTATTTAAGTACCAAAATATCATTAATATTTGTCGCTGAGCGTTGACCTACCTTGTCTCTGAGTTCAATGGTGGGGGCACTACTGTAGGCCTTAGTGTAGGAGTGGTCTGTGTACAACATCATCTGTATCGTGGCGTCAAGTTCAGCCACGCGCATCACCGTCTCACTGTCCACGAACAGAGAAGAGGCAAGAAAACACAGTCTGTTTACAGAGGCAGTTTCAGTTTGTATTTAATAATGCTTTCAGATTGCAATGAGCAGTAATATCAAGTTTCAGAGGTTATCAGGGGGGCTTTTTGGTTTGGTTTTGAAGCCTATGAACAAAAAGGGTTACGGGATTACGCATACTTTTTTAGGCTTGTTGTAGCCTAAAATACATGATTTCATGGCAGCTTTGCTTTAAAATTGCGATGCATGTTGCATTGTTTGGTTGGTTGGGTGGGATGATGAACCACACCTGCCCTGATTTCAAGATTTTTAAACATTCTGACCTTGATGAAGATCCATTTAGTTTTGTGGCAGTGAGTACGTATGCAGGTTTTACCAGTGTTTCAATGAAATAATAGTGACATTAAAAGATTTCCCATTTTTCTGGGGATCCTCTGGAACTCCCTCAAGGATCTGTGGGGGATCCAGCTTGAGAACCACAGGGTTAAAGGACAGGTGAAACTCAGTATCCAATATATATCCAGAATGAGTGGGTTCACTTATGACCCACTAGAAGTGTGTCTGTATCTGCAGAGACTCTGCTGCCCTTTGCCTGCATTTTATTATTTTGCTATGGATGTCAACCTTTGGACAGTGGGTGTGCAGCCCCCAGGCGATAACAGCGACTCCATAAAAAAAATAGTGACCAGGTGCCAGATTGTAAGCGTGTATCCAAGATGAGCGTCTGTTGTTGAGCCGGGGGACGAGGTGCCAACTGATACAAATCCTACTCATTCTGCCTTTGTTTAAGCATCCTTCCTGGCTTACACGGTAAAGGGGACGACTGGGAAAGGAAGGCTGATTCTCCTGATGTATGGATAGACGCATCTGTAGTCCATCCTAATGAGCGGATTTCTGATGATGTTTCCAATAACCTGAGGGTCTGACAGTAGACTCAGAGAATATGAGATGTGAGTGAAGTTTTTCTGTATTAAGGGCGAAAAAGAAAAGAAAAAAAGCACTATTAACAGTGTGTTTGTGTTTGTGGCATCTAAAGCAGATAATTCTCCAGGTGTATACCTCCAGCGGCTTGCCTCCACAGGCTAGGTATTCGTCTTTCGTTATCCTGGACACGTAGAACGGCACGCCATCGATGACCGCTCTCTGAGCACGACAAGATTTGTTGGGCAAGTGCAGGGACTCCAGCGGCATATTGTGATATTCGAAGAAATCTTGTAGCGCTCCAATTCCTATGTAGTTTCTGCCGCACATGACTTTGATTTGTGCATCTGTGAAAATGTAAAACATGGATCGTAAGTGAGTGTTTGAGATCCATAAGAGGACACATGAACCTTCAAAAAGAGAACATGAAATCAGAAATTAGCAAGTTCAGATCGACTGAAGTTTCCACTCAAAAATATGTTTTTCTTCTTGTTTTCTACAGTTGGATGTTTGAGTGTGCATGTGCAGTCTTCTCACACTCATTTATGAGCTCAGTAAACGGTTTCCTGATGAGTTTCTGGTCTCAGTTTCTAGTTTCAGTCTTCTTCCATACAGCATGACACACACATTAAACATTAAGTAAAAAACTAAATAAAAAATTCTTACTTTTGTCACATTGGTCACCGTAATATCCAATGGTACATTTGCAGCTGCTTTGGTCTTTAGACAGAAGACATCTTGTGCGGTCGGTGCAATACTCCACGCTGCAGATCCCTGCACGGTAAAGAAAGGACTCTTAACCCTCATCCTGCCAACATATTCAACATACTGAAGAATTACTGACTGCGGCCCCTGCAGGGGCGTGTCCAGACTTTAACTTTTCAGTCATTCCCAATTTATGCAATTCCAACACTGTTTATGGACTCTGGTATGCCTATCAAATACACTAGATGAAAATAACACATTTATACCACAAGCAAAAAACTGTATGGTTTCTGCTCAAAACTGTGTGTGATTAGCATAAAGTGGGTATGTCTGTAAAGTGGGGACTTGTGCATACCCATGAATCCATTTTCATTCAGATATCTTAAGATCAGAGGTCTAAAAATGGCCTTTCCAGTTTCATCCATCGCCAAAATGTAGCTTAACTTTGGAGTCTTATTTTACCCCCCTTCCCAACATGCTACCATGCCCATTGCCTCGACCTAAACTGAGCCTCTGAAACATATTGCCCAGTGGAAGAGGTAAGAATAATGGGATGGGAAACCGTCTGGACACGCCCCTGGGTCCCCAAGAATAAACTACAGAAAGGAACAACCATCATAGTAAAATGTTAACTTATTTCTTTCTTCTGAAATTAGTTATACAAATAAAAATATCTGGAAAAAACTAAAAAAAAGTAACTATATAAATCCTATAAATTTAAAAGGCACAAATGAACTCAAACATGAGCTCAATATAAAGTTCCATCGATTAGAACTGCACAGGGCTAATGCATTTTAAAAGAGCACAAATTAAAACACAAGAAGTGATGAAGAACACAAGAAGTGATGAAGAACACACTCATTGATTCAATCTTTACCTTCAACGGGGTGGCGCGTGAAGCCCAGGACAAGCACGAGGACCAAACTGAGCTGGTTTGAAGAATCAACATTTCACCTTTACATTATTTATTTATTTATTTATTTATTTACTTACTTACAAGCTGTATGAGGCCACATTACCTGATACACAAACACTCTGCGCTACGCAAACATTTCGCTTTCTACCACTGAGGATCAATAATGCTCTTTAAACTGTTTATACACCCACCTTCAGACCGAGCAGGATCATTGCTGTACTTTCTTACGTTATACTATATATAAATGTATAAATGTATACGTAAATCTTGTTTTTAAATGCGATATATGCAACCACTCTGTGTCTTCTCCTCTGCTGTGGCCGTTTACATCACCTGCTGCTCCCCAATTAGAAACACCTGTCTGTCTGCTGCCGCCTGTCTGTCCTTAAACGGAGGAAATTCCACCTTTCTCTTGATCAGTACACTGAATTATGCTTTATTTATTATAGAATTGTATTAAACGTGAGTTAAGTGTATTAATTGGTGGATTGAAACTATATCGGCTATTTCTCAAACGGAAAACTCTGAGCACCCACAGCTTCTCAAACGGAGGATTTGCTGCTTTTCTCAGCTGTGTATCATCGTAAATTTAAGTATTTGGAAGCTGCACCCCTCTGCTGTATTTATATCTGTGCACGGATAAACTGATAGTGGATCTAAAACCAGTTTAATTTCCCTGTTGTATGTACAGCAGTGGTTTTCAGTGGACTGTAAGGGTCCCCAATAAAAGGTGGTATGAAATATTTGAACTTTTTATTGATGGTAATTTATTGTGATCCCAGTTTATATATTGATTGACTATGGAGGCTTTATCATCTTAAAATCTAAAAATAAAAATAAAAAATCACTCAGAGGGGGTTTGCTTAAGACAAAAACCCTTTCAAATTGGGGGTCCGGGGTCTAATGTGCATGTATTGTGGAAGTTTGGGAATCCCTCCTGTAGAGTTCATCACTCAGGAAGGAATAATTGGTACTCTTCAAACCTCTGTGTAGTAGCTATGATAACCAAGAATTATTATCTACTGTTGGACATACATGTTGAGATATTTCTAATAAAACTGTTACTGAACACAGATGACATTGGGGAGCCTATATTTTGCCATGTTTCATCACTAGGTTTATTATTTATTTACTTATTTATTATCTTTACCTCTTCCCTCTTTCCTCTCCGTACTGTACACACAACACACCCACTGGTACCCACCAACCATATCATACACGTCAGGAAAGGGGACTAAATAACGCTTCAAATTTAGGCAAAATATCCCCTTTGCTAATCCCAGTGTCTGAAATAGGCCAGTTACTCACCAGTGCTGGGCGTACCCACAACTGAGGTCACCCATGGTCTGGACCTCGGCATTTCTTTCCGAGGGGTATACAAAAAGTTGTGAAATAAATTCCTAATTATTGAATAATTAATTTAATTTAATAATTACTTTGATGCTTTGATGCATGTGCCAAAAGCCCCATAAGCTACTTCAGTTTTTGGACCCCAGTATTTCTAAAACCCTGCCTGCAGTAAAATGCTGAGATACAGACTTCATGCCACCCCTGCAGAAGTCAGTGCCCCATTTGTGCCACCCAAAAGTCTGGACACGCCCCAGGACATGTGTGAAGGGGTCTCCTCCATACATCACTACTGTCAGCACAATGTGGGGCTGAGTGCTTTGGAAAGGTCACAGTATCTGAAGTACTTTTAATATAATAAACCAAACATCAAGGTGGAGCTACAGAAGCGTTTTTTGGTACAAGAGGAACAGAAATCAGGTTTTTATTGTCAGCAGGTCAGAACAGTGGGGGGGCTCTGCCATGACGGGGGAACTACAGTGTCTCAGGGGAAAGCTGTAAGTGGGTCACTGTATTTCCAACAGTGCCAACGCGTCACACCCGGAGGCCAGACTCCATATTCTCCAACGTTTGAGGACCATCTGTTTTTGATGGGACAGATCACAGCCGGAATAAGTTGATGAGGGAGGCACCGTGATTGATGAGGCAGGTTTACAGCAGACAGTCCTGGTGGCAGATCAGATGGAAAATAATGCGTGTGTGTGTGTGTTTTCTTTTCTGTTAGTGAGTAGTAGCTTCTGATGGAGCACTCCAGGGGCAGATCTACAGAAATATATCCTGATTTAATCACATATATCAATATTTGCTTAGGAAATCCCCCAAATGAAGATATTTTGTAGATATTTTGTTTTAACTTTATACTCTTTTAGGTTTTTATGTCACCAGATCTGCTACAGCTTTCCATTGGCCTAAAGACTTATTATTTAGACCATCACAACTGGGATAAATCTGTTTTTTTAAAACAGGGAGTTCAGTCAGACATGACCAATGCTCTATCAGTGAAAATAGAGTAAGAAATCATGGTTTATATCTATTTTAACCAAATATTTGTGTCATACAGTCTATTACCAATCTCTTCTTAAACAGGAAGTTGTGTGAACTGAAGTAAGATAGACAAAAAGAAGGCTAAGCAACCATTTTTCATTAAGCATTTAGAATATACAAGATGAGAACATTATGTTTGTTAAGTCTAAAAGGTGCCCCACTGAACTGTGTTTGAGTGCAGTGCAGAGGATGTAAGATTTACAGGTTTTTTAGATTAGAGTTTAGGTTTGTGTTCATTCACCCAAAGACTCCACCGTCTGCCGGTGGATTTAATTTGCATATCAAACAGTTAAATCGCTCTATTGAAACATCAAGACGCACATTTTTTGGCCTTGCTCCTACCCATTGAATTAGATTTATTTCTTTTGATGCCAACTTTTTCCTCTTTGAAAATTAAAATAAGCTGTAAATTATTATTTCATCGTGTGGCTGCAACCTCAAGTTCACACATCCTTTGGACCCAAACAGCAACAAAACAAATCTACAGAGGAAACCTTGGTAATATTGTTTATTAACAGACAAAAAGGCTGAGAAACATTTTACAAATTTGTAGAGACTGTCAGTGTTTACACCTGTGAATGTAGCTTGATTTTGTCTTAACGGGAGGAATTTGTCTTCACATGATTTGGTTCAGTAATGTCTGAGTGAATGTGGAACATGAAGTGGGAAAAAACAACTGAAGTGGATGTGATGAATGGGCACAGAACAGAATCATGTTACATAGCAAAACACAATGTGAGAAGCAAATATCCATTTACAGTCCAATGTTCCACTGGACGTTGGCAGGAGATAACCCTGAATCTCGCTCAGCAGCATCATGCGGTGGGTCTTCGTCTCGTCGGCAGTGGTGCGGTGCCACCCTGGTGTTGTGAAATAGCCGGGTTATAGGAGGTGTCTGTCATCGGCCTGATTCACAACACCAGCTGCAGCACGCACACCTGAGAGGCAGATCTTCTGCTGCTGGAGCAGGGGCAACTCACTCAGTAGTAGTAAAGGAGTCTCTGCAGCAGACTTGATCAGCCATTTGTGACTGAAAAGCATCTGAGTTGATCTAATATGATGTAATGCACTGGGTTGGGACCCCCACTAGGAGTCGCTAAAGCTTTACAGGGGGGGCTGCGTGGCCTTCTTGATTTTATGGAGTGTAAGAAAATGTATACATAGTCGGCGGTATCTCAGCATTTCATTCATTTCCGTGAAAAAAACTGAATGAAATTGTTATTTTTAAAGTTGAAATTATTATTTAAGAGCTAAACTGTGAACACAAGCTACAATCACTTAGCCTTCACTTTCTTGCTAAAAGTCCTGCATTAAAAAAGTTAAAACAACCAAATTTGTAAAAAAATATATAAAAAGTTCCTAAAAATATCCGGAAAACTCATCTCTGATGCAGTAAATCTGCTCATATTTCATCCAGATCACTTGTTTTACACAAACTTCCTGCAGTCATTGTCATTATACAGTTGTTCTTCACTGTTACGGTTACGCATTGAATATAAAATGAAATATCCATAAAATTTGTCACTTAGTCAAGTGTCCCCTTAAGGAAAAAGGTTGGGAACCACTTGTCGGACATATTATTAAGTGCTGTAGGGCAGCGGTGTGTCTCTGCTCCCAGCACTGGGTAGGAGTACAACAGCACGGACCATATAGCACTTGGCTCGGCTCTGTCTGTGGCCGTGGATGAACTCAACATCCTGGCACAGTTATGTGGAACAGCCAAGACATAATGAGCTTCCATCTGTGTTCTCTCAGGCCAGACTGAAGGACAGAGAGTGTGGGCCACAAATTTAACAGAGGGGACGATGGGTGCTTGCTTCTAAAGATTTGTGTGCAAATCTGGTGGCTTTTTAAAAAAAAAAATTTTTAAAGCTACAACAGACTTTTATTAAAGAATATGTAAAGCCTGCTCCTTTTTTCATACAGTAAAATATTGGGAAACCTATGATCAAGAGGAATGTGTCGCAGTTTGCAGACAGAAATATTCCTCCAGTTCCTGCAGTCGAGTTCAAGTCAGCCCACCATCTGCCGGAGAACAGGACGTGTCACAGATACGGTACTACAGCCTGTGGAAACAACATGGCTACTTCCTGCAACCACAGGATTTGTAGCTTCTCTTTAAAATGAGATGAACTGATGTAACAGTTAAAATGAGCTGTGTGTGTGTGTCAGCTGAGGTTTGTTTAGCATATCATCCTAAACTAAGACAGACCTTATGGAGGACAACTTTGAATTACAAATCTGTAAGCTCGCACTCTATGAACACTTATTGGAAGGTAAGATCACGCCTATTAAATGAGGCGTTGAATAAGAAGCTCGCTCTAAAGCAGAGGTGGAAAGTACCAAAGTACAAATACTTTGTTACTGTACTTAAGTAGTTTTTTAGGTATCTGTACTTCGAGAATGTATTTTACTTTTATCCCTTACATCTGTACTTTCTACTCCTTAACAGGCTTTTTTTAAACTTTTGTTTTAATGCATTTGATTGTTTTCCCCCATTGCATGCCTTCCTAACATCCAGGCCGGTGCATATCACATACATCAGACGTAATACGACAAAAACGATGTAACAAGACGAAACATACAAGCTAAGGAGACTCAACCTGATTCTGTTAGAAAAGTACTTATGACAAACTCACTGAGTACTTTTTACTTCTGTTCCTTTTGTTTACACGAGTATCTGTACTTCTACTTGAGTAAAGAATGTGGAGGAGCAAACATCCTGCCAGAGTTAATGAATAATGAGTTCAAAATGTGGAATAAATCCACCACTGCAACAACCTGGACTGAGATAACAAGCTCTAACTGCTGCAGTAAAATG